TATTAGGCACATTATATATTTTAAAAATATATGCCAGAAGATTTTTGTATGAAAGTAATATACACCCCTTTTTTTTAGGTCCTTAGGACGCGTTTTTTGCAAGCAAAGAATAAATTTATAAGAATTAACTAGAATATAATTAACTCTACTACCAGTTAGGTAACCATTTTTAGATAGAGTTGGAATTCAGATTAAATCATAGGCGTAGCCAGGATTTTCCTAAGGGGGGGGGATTACAAAATTTATAAGGGCTTCGCCCCCAGACCTCATTTTTGGCGGGTCTTAAGCCCGTTTTACCCGGCTTTCGGTCTGATTATTAATCCTATATATATTTAAAAAAATTTTTAACAAATAATAAGCCCGGAAGAAATATGAAATATATTTTTATTATTCTATTGTTAATACAGATAGATCACACAAAAACGTAGTAATAATTTATGTTATGTCATAATATAGACCATACAAAAACGTGGTAATAATTTATGTGTTGTGTAAAATAAGATAGATCATACAAAAAACGAGATAATAATTTATATTGTTATGTCTAATTTTCTTTTAGAATTTGATGATTCATTAATTATTTCAGTATTTGTTAATTCCCGATAAATATTTAATAGAGCTAAACCATTTAATCTATTTTGCGAGGTAGTATTTCGTAAGTATGTTAATTAGTGAAAGTTCTTTCATTTGTACATGTTGTAATTGGGAGACATGCTAAAATTTGAAATAATTTTGTTATGTTCGGAAAGTCAATTAGTGTGTGTTTACAAATATTCAGTGCATTTAATGCATTATCAGGCTTTATATTCATTCTTTTCAAATTGTCAAACCAATATTTAAATTCACTTATTATTTCTAATTCGGTCCCTACCATATCTTGCAAATAAAAATTATATAAATACTGAATTTTAAATTTGAAAGTTACTTAGCAAAAGTTTATGTTTTAATAAACGTTCTTTAATCTGAGTAGTGTCCATAAGTTGTATAAAAACAATAATTTTGTAATACTCCTCAACTGATTGTAAGGAAATATTATTCCTATGTACTTGTCTTGATACTATTCTTGGCATGCTTATTATCATATTATAAGATTGGACTTTTTTTTGAACTTTGTTAAAAATCGTTCTAAATTCACAATCAGCATTTTTTCTTATCTGTAAAATAGCATAATATGCACAGCTAAGATCAATGCCTGAACCATATATTGGTTCACTCTTTGCAAGGCTCTGCATAATAATATTGTGTGGCAGAAGAGAGTGTTAATGCAATTAATGGCCAATAAAAATTCAGGATCTTGAATCGCTTTCAAGATTCAATTGGCTTCTGCCATCATTGATGTATCTGTCCATCCACATATTTCCTGCAATGCAACAATTATCGGGTCAACTAATTCAAGAAAAACTGCAACCGATTCATGTCGTAGGGTCCATCTTGTAGGGCACATTTTCACAAGTTTATGATGATTATTGCCAAATTCTTCCTTTGCCAGAATATTTTTGAGGACATTAGATTTTTTTGGATACTTGAACATATCATATACCTTGCCTATTGTGCCTTTTTAAATATATGATTATAATTAATAAAAGTTTAATACCCATGGTACTACGAATAACGGGAATTGAGCAACAATCAGAAATTACCAGATTTAGGGAATGCGATGCACAATGTACATAAATTGCAGGACATTTTTTTTGTTAAATGTGATTGAACACCATTTAAATGTCCACTCATAGCAGGGGCACCATCATATCATTGTCCCCGCATAAAATTAACATTAATTTTAAATTTTTTAAGATGAACATCAATTGTGCTAGCTAGACATTCACCTCTCATATCTTGAATCGGAATAAATTGCAAAAAGTCTTCTTTTATTTGAACTTCATCTATATAAATGATAATAATTTATATAAAATAAATATAAATTTTACCATTTTCAGAATATAAATATTTTACACAAAGACATTTGCTCTATGCCAGATATATCAGTTGATTCATCTGCCAAGACTGAAAAGAATGGAGACTTGTTAATGTTGGCAACTACATTTTTTAATATTAATTCATTACACACATCAATGATTTCGTTTTGAATGATGGGGCTTAAATACATAGCATTTTTCGGTGCATTTAACAAGTTAACCTGAGCTCATCATCTCCAATTGCTCGGTTTCTGAGAATAGCTCTAAAGTTCCCATCATTTTCATTTGTATCATCCTTAAATATACAACCTTAATCTCGATGACCTCTTAATGCCATAGATTGATTTCCACCAGCGTCTACATGAGCGGGAGGGGTAGGAACAGTGTGCATCCTATTTTTTTGAGGGGGTAAGCTGCTTTAATGGGGGTAGGATAATTTTTTTGGGGGGTTATATATTAAATTTTGAGATGAAATAGGACAAAATTTATTGCTGTAAAAATCAATACTTTTATTATAGTATTATTATAATACAATTCATCGACCAAATCTATATATTGCAAACAATCATACACATTGTTTTCCAAATAAATTATCCTTTTAAATGTAATTTAAAAGGTTTAGATATTTCAGCAAGCTCATAATGCCATAATAATTAATTCATTGTAAATAATGGAGGTTTTAATTGAATTAATTAACTAAAAAAATAAATTCTTTATATTCACAAAATATCGATAGTTGGTAGTAGAGATAATTAATTTAAGTTATCCTTTATAAATTCTTTGAAAAGAGTATCAATAAATAAATAGGTGAAAATAATGATAAGGCACCGCCGCCAAAGGTGGGGGGGGGGTTTTAGGGGAGTAGGCAAATATTTTTGAAGGTGGATTGCATCCAGTGAAAATCCTGTCATGTAGACGCTGATTTGCACATGCAATTATTGCATCTATTATAGGAGATAATTTTCGTCTATTTTCATTTTCATTTGCTATTTTCTTTTTACCTTGATCTTTATAAAAAATAAATAATTATAAGGCCATAAAATATAAAACCCAAAAGGTTGGCCAATTAAACTGGTACCTTTGTGGGTCTCTTATAATAATTTTTAATGGTTTACCTATTATATGAATGATAGAATCTCTATCATTAGCATTAATTGCTCTAAGAGACGATATAATATTTTGTGTATTTTTATGGTATAAATTTTTTTGATGATTTTCAAAATTCTCTCCTGCATCTTTCCAACGTCTATATGGACAATTCACAAGTCGCTTTCATTTTTGTTCACCTTTACCAGCATATTTTGGACCAAATAGAAGACAATATCAATAAGCCCCATTTTGTGAAGGTGAGTAAGCCAACCAAGGCCAAGTGGTAAACCAATTAGATTGAAATTTTAATTTCCTTCTAGAAAGATCTTTTGGATATTTATAATTATTGGGTGGCCTATATATACTATCTAGTATATTAAAGTCTTTGGGGGCTACATCCAATTGAACATAATTGCTTAAGTCAAATGGTAAAGTATCTATATAAACTATTTACATATTTTTAAAATATAAATTTTACTATCCATATTTTGAACTCTTGACTGTATAAGATTTACTGCAGATCTTTCATCAACAACATTAACTTAAAAAAATGCTAATTACAATGATATTAAAATAAAATACCTATTGGGACTACCTGGATGATAGGATTACTTTTCTCATTCTCTAGCACAATCTCTAATATTTGATCATCTTTTTGAGAATCAATAACAACTAATAATAATAATTATGTTAATATTCGAATAGTTCTTACCTGAATCAAGGTCTCTTATATTTAGAGAATTATTATCTCCCAGCAACATCACTAAAAAAAGATATATAAATTCATTATAAATATAAAATATACGTTCATCAATCCTTGTTAAATTTATTCTAATTTCCTTCTTTTTTTGATATATTTTCATGATTGTTACATAATAATTCTGATACCCTATTTTCACTTGAAATTAAATCAATTTTCTTGCGATGATGATCTTGGTAGGAAATCAATGTTTATTATAATAAATATAGAATTACCTTTTTCATTTACATTATTTAAAAGATATTTTCTTATGTCCATATCAATCTTAAAACAAATATAATGCTTGTTGCTCGGTCAAAAAATTGCAAAATATATTTTAAAAATAAATTGGAAGGAAATTTAAAAAAAATGGGAATATGGTTATGTTAATTTTTTATTAAATTTATAAATTAATTATTAATAATTTTGTAATTAAATTTTACTTTTATTAAGAAAAATAAATTAAAATAATTCACTATATAAAATTATAAAAAATCATATTTATATATTATTTTACTTAGTATTTTTATAGATCTATTAATAGTAATTATAAAAAATTGATTTTTGTCTTATGACTTATATATGGCTTATATTTCATTTTTTAAAATACATTTTTTGGTATCACTTTTTTTATATATATTTATATATAAATCTTTTTACAAAATAAAAATTATATTCAATAGTTTAAATCTAAAAATTTTTTAAACCATATTATTTCTTTCATTATTGTTTAAGAAGATATATGCATACATTTTTGAGAGACGGGAGGGGGACTAAGGAACGTATTTTTTATTAGTTTAAAATGATATTTACGAAAAGTGATATATTTTTGAAGAAGGAGGGAAATTTCCCCTTGCCCCCCCCCCACCTGGCTAAGCCTTTGGATTAAATATACTTTAAATTTGTGGGTTCATTTTATTCTTTAGTAAACAGGTTTTTATAAATGATTATTGTTTATAATATTTTTTTTTTATACAATATAAATATATAGATATATTTTCTATGTAATATTCAAAACGTACTGAGTGTTCTGTCAGAATTAGTAATTATTTTTTATTTAAATAAAAATTAACAAATTCTTTTATCCAAATTTGATGTATATTTGTTGTGATTCATAATTCATACCTTATTAAATTTATAAAAATTATAATGTTGTAAAATATATATTTTATTAATAATGTTTAGAATTTACATTATTATAATATTTTTAAAAATTAATTATTTAATATAATTTTGATATTTTGCACCAATTTAATTCCCAAACTAGCTTAAATTCCGTTTTTAGAATCTACAATTTATAATCATGGCCGATACATCCTATTATAAAGAATTGAAAGAAGAAAGAACTAAAATTGACAATAGTCTTAGGAAAGTTATAGCAATAGTTGATAAAGGTTACTTTTTTATATATTTATTTACATGTAATTTATCTTAAATTTTGCTATTTTCTATATTAATAGTTATAACTTATAATATATTTTTAACATTTTAATTCATATAAAATAATTAATTATATATATATTCAACTAAATTATAATAATACATTATAAAAATATAAATTTATTTTGAAAACAAACTAAAATCACGATAAAAAATGGTCAACAATCGCTATAAAAATTCAATAAAACAACATTAATTAGAAATTGATAAACTAGAAACTGGGCTTACTGAAACAGACGAAGCCTTAAAATTTATAGATGCCACTAAAGAAAAACCCATAAAGATAAGAGAAAGAATAATGATACCAATAAAAGAATTTCCTAAAGTATTCAAAAAACTATAAACAAAAATTACAACATAAAATATACATTATTTTAAAAATTATTTTTAACATATAATTTTATGTATATTTTTAAATATTTAAAAGCTATTATATATTAATTTTTAATCTCATAATAATGTTAAATAATCATTAGTACTCTTAAAATGAATATAAAGTAAATATGATATCATTAAATTGCCAAGTGACTTTTTTAAGATTTATAAAAATGTAATGTTTATTTATAGTTCAACTTTGTTGGCAAAATATTGGGACCTAAAGGAAATTCATTAAAGAGACTTCAAGAACAGACTGGATGCAGAATGTCTGTTTTAGGCAGAGGATCTGTCAGAAGCAAAGAAGAGGTAAATTTATTTTTTTAAAATCCTAATTTATTTGGCTGTCTACCACTAGTGTTGTTAAACAGTTCTATTTTTAAAAACAGCTATCAATATTTTAGCTAAAAAATGTTATGCATGTTTAGAAATTTTGGTAATGAATGTCCAAACCTTTCTACCATCTATTAGCAAAATCTTCAGCTTGTATAATATTTTTGGCTAAAATATTGGGTTACCCATATTAAAAAATCGAGCCTAACAACAACCACACATTTTATATTTTTAAAAGCTCCATAAGATGACCAATGTAAATATGATACTTAAAAGAAATATTACTTTTTTAAGTTTGTGAATATGCCAAATATATTAAACAAATGATTGATAAATTTTATTTTAATTACATAATGTAATATACAATATATTTTTTAAATAGGAGGATAAATTGTTAAGTACTGGTGACCCTAAATATAACCACTTGAGACAAGATTTACATGTTTTCATTGAATCTTATGCACCACCACTAGAGGCTTATAGTAGAGTTGCCCATGCTATTTCTTTGTTAAAGAGCTACCTAACACCAGTAAAATAATTTTAAATATATTTTACTTCTAACTTTACAAACATGATCTTAAAATTTACCCATTTTGAATTATAGCAAGATTTCAATGATGACATTAGAGCTGCTCAGTTTGAGGAACTTTCTATGATTCAACAAACTGGACCCCCTATGCATCATCCACAGCCACCTAATTCTTGGAAAACACCTCAACCTGGGAACAAAAAAATGTACATTATTATATAAAAAATATTTCAAACAAGCATTTTTTTATCTAAATTATAAGTGATTGAATTTCTATAAGAAATAAATTTAAAATTACATTCTATACTATCTTAGGAGGACATCTATTGGTATGAGTGGACCCCCTCCTCCTATAGGTGGTCAAGGTGTACCCACACCTCACAAGAGATACGCTCCTCCCCATCATGCTGGACCTCCACCCCCTGCCCAATATGGTGGTGGCTATGGAGGAGAAATGGAATATGTAAGTCTTATTACAATAACTGAGTTACACTATAAAATATTATCTTTTATTTGCATTGAATAATCCCAAATTTGGTTATCTTGCCACGTATTTATTTTTTTGTGTAAATTTAATGCTCCAGAAGATGACCAATATAAATATGATAATATAAAGAAACATTCTACTTTTTTAAGTTTGAAATGTGCCGAATATATCAAACAAATATATAATTGCTTATTAATTAGAATGCTCACTTTGTTAGCATTTTAAGCTATCTAGCTTGCTGATGGATATATTAATACATATCATTGTATTATATTTTTAGTCATATGGTGATGGCTATGGGCCAAGTGGAGGTGGAGTTCCACCAAGTCACTACAACAATGGTTCTTCCTACATGCATCAACCACCACCTCAACATGGAAGAGGGTATGTATTGTGATTTTCTCAATGCTTATGTTAATAATTTTTAATTTCATTATATTTTGTGTTTTGAATATAATTCATTTTTTTAAAGTGACAGATATGGAAGGCCCATGCCGTCTACTGAATACAATCACTGTAAGCAAAATTATTATTTAAATTTGCTTAATATTTACATCCACAAAATTATAAGTTTTCTTTTGCACAATATGACCTTCAAACTGTTATTATGTGCTCAAGAATAAATAATTACTTATAAAATTAATGTTTTGTGGTATGAGTATTTGGGCAATATAGCAAATGTATATATTGATCATAGTACGTGCTTAAACAAATAGGAACCTTGGCTCCAGCTTAATTTGTTTCATATATTCACGTTTCCAAATCGAAAAACATGTTATTCAAATTGGGTCTACGTTTTTTTAAAAAATGATTAATTGTTTTGTAATTATATATATATTTTATTTAAGTGGCACCTCAGGATGGCTATGGTTCAGGGCAATTCAAACAGCCTTATGATAACAGTCCATCCATGCCTTCTCACAAGCAACCTCACCTTGAAAGAGGAAGACCAGGAGCAAGATGGTAAAAATTTGGAAATTATGTACGGAACACTACACCTTAAATTAAAAATAGATGTATATGACACTTATTTTAAAAATTTGTAGAATTTGTAATAATATATTACCTAATTTTTATAAAAAATTTTTGGCGTGATTGTAACACTTTACATCATATAATTAAAATGTATTATTATTATTTAGATTTAAAAGTATTTTATCAATCCATTTATTCTTTTGTATATATTAAAATAATTGTAGCAATTATTTTATCTGCAAATTTATTCATTTTAAATGTTTGTGAATTTATTTTGTAAATAAAAAAATATTATCCCTTCATGTTAACCTTTTTTTATCTATTCTATTCTGTAAGTATTTATGATTTGCATAGCGTCAATCTGTTATTTAACCAATTTTTGAGAACGGTTTTTAAAATTTAGAAATCTGGTCAGGCTCATTTTTAGATAGTCTTGTCATGAACTTAATGTAGGGTAGGTATTCTTAACATTCTGGAATACATTTCTGTTACTGGAAAAATAACTTTTTAGCTAACAATTGGGTAATTTCTATTTTACGCCAATTTTTGTCTGCTATACCAATTTTTTAGCCAAAAAAGAATATAATATAAATTAAACCTTTATTAATGGATTTTCTCTAGCAGGCGCCTAAGATTGAGCTAAATTAGTCGACATTTAGCCATTATTCCACTATAGTTAACGTTGGCTATAGTTTGAAAGTTAAGTTCATTGCAGATTCTGGAATATTTAATACAAATTTAATATTATGATGGACAAAACAGGTGTAATTTTTTTTTACTAAAGGCTGTTTCCAAAATCTATTTTAAAAATCCATACCAAACTTTCATTAATTGGATGTTAAATATCCTGTAATTATATTTTAGAAATGTTTAATTAAAAGCCCATTTCCTTTTTCGATAAAGTTTCAAGTGTTTGTAAATAATAATTTGATATTTCATTGCCAAAACAAAATTTTCTTGCCCATTTTTTATTCAATTTAATAAATAATATAAACTAAAAAGATGTAAAGATTTGATACTTCAAGTCTAGATAGAATCAATGACACTGGAAATAAATTTAAAAAAAAGGGCTAAATTAAGTTAATGAATTTTTTGCCCTATCGAATTGTAGAATTAACTTCACCTGAACTTAGAGCCTCCTTTGACGCACCCCCCCCCCCCTCCCCCTTACATGTTTTATCGTATATTTTTTATGTTTTGTTTTAAATTGTTTACATTCTATATATTATGCTATTTTCAATATATTTTTTAAAATTTAATAAAAGAACTTATCTTAAATAAAAAAAAGGAATATATCCATCAAAATATTTTTAATGAAATTTTAAAAAAGTTAGGTATATGGAGAAATTATAATGCGAGGATGGAAGGGGATCTTTTATATATTTAAATAGAATATTTACCAGCCCTGTAGATGTACCAATTGCACTTATAATCTTTGTCGTCCAGGTTTTGTACTTTCAGGCCCGACTCAATTGGTATTATTTTAAAAATTAAAAAAAAAAAAATTAGTGCCAAATAAATATCAATTTCACAGTTAATTTTTCAGCGTATATTCATTTAATATTCTAACAACTTTTGATATGATTTTTATTCTGAAATGATTTTTCATTTCATATAAAAAAAAGAAAATATTCATGTTCATTCTTGGCAAAATATCATTTAAAAATTATGATTAGTCATTAATTGGTATTCCGATAGGGAGGAGAGTGATAATTGTGGGTGTTAACTGTAGGGGTTACTATAGAATGACTTTATAATAATATTATCTGATATAAATAACTACACAAAAGAGGGGATGTCTTAATAACGTATACTGATAAATTAATGATGTGGTTGGTAGCGTAGGTCAACGATCTTTAAAGCTTAACCAGTATCCAGCCTGTGGGCTGGGATTTGAAAAAAAATTATACAAGCCAGACCAAGCAAAAATTTAACAGGAGCAATCCGTTTCTTGGGGTGGGCTGAAGAATTTATGCATAAATAATCAAGGAAGGCCTTGCAAATCTCTAATTTTTCATAAAATCATAATAGGCCAACCTGGAGATTAGAATTTTAATATTATTTTGATTTTAATGAATAATAATTGAAAATAAATTACAATATGCTTAATTCTTTGGTTAGAGCTGTCTATCTAAAATACTAAATCTATAAATAATGCATAGAAGAAAGATATAAGATCCTAAATTGACATAAATGTAAAAAGAAATTAGATATAAATAATAAAAATGTGATGGCCAGAACATTTGCACAAAAAAATTAATGGGCTGGAGGTATCTTTTTGTAAAGTTATTATAACATGCTAGAGATAAAAAGAACCCCCCCCCCAACGGGCACTAATAATGTGAACTTTCCAAAAAGTTTAAATATTTTCTAAGTATAGGGCTGCTTTATTTTATAACCATTCGTCGAATAATAATAGTAAAATTGTACGACGACTTTGACGCTACCTCAAAAAGCTTAATTTCCTGAAATTTTTTTGATCCCAAATACATGTGGTGTGAGTGTGACGAGGGAATACTACTCCTTAGTAGTGTTGTGGCTCGATTTGAACCGATTTTGAAAAACGACTAACTCAATATTTTGGCCAGAAAAAAAATTTTGTGTCATCTATAGGCAAAATCTTTAGGCTTGCATAATATATTTCACGAATAAAACATTGTTAGCTGTTTTTAAAAATCGGCTCAAATTGAGTCCTTAAACAACACTGCTCTTTAGGTCCCTGTGAATTTTAAAGATTGAATGTGGCAATCCATCCTAAGATAAGCATAAAATTGTCAATTGTAAACCCCTAAACAAAATAATTTCCAAAGATTTTCTTTATTTATAACATTGTAATTTAAAATACCAAAAAATAAATATGTCTCGTTAAATTATTGCAATTTTAATAATGATAATTTTATGTATCGTCATATAATCATAAAAAATTAAATAAAGTTTGCATTTTTTTATAAATAATTTGTAAGAATAAATAAGTTTTATAAAATCGTGTTGCGTCTTTGTGTTTGTATAATCTAGGAGATATTCAATTGAGAAATAATATTCAAAGCTTCATCTTCTAAAGTCTCCACCTTTTCCCTGATTAACACCTAAAACAAATTTAAATTTATTTTTAATTTTACATTTTTAATCATACATTATACTCTCAATTGAATTAACTATCCTTAACTAATGCATCGGATCCAAGTTGTCAAAGTTAAAAAAAAATAGCGGTAGCTAATAACGCGCTCCTTTTCAGAGAGTAGTTAAGTAACGCGTTACTTCGTTACTTAAATTTTTTTTGTATAGTAATAAATACTAAATAATTTTTTCACAAACTGTATTATAATAAATAGAATTTATCAAAATTTCGAAATATAAAACTCCGTCAATAGAGATAGTCATAGAAGGAGGATATTCTGAAATTCCTTTTCTCATATCACAAAATATTTTGAACCGAATAATTGATGCATAAAATAAAGGGTAATATCGTCCAATAAAACAAGCAACTTCAACCTAAAAAACATCTGTTAGCGGTAGCGCGCTAATTTAACAACACTTGGCCGGATCATAATTTACAATTTCTTTCTAAAATACCTCTTATTTTAAAATCAGAAATTTTAAACATAAAATATATTTATAACATATATATATTTTGTAAACCTTCGCGGAAGAAATTAACTGGTTAGCCAATTCCTTGGATAGAAACTTGATATCCTTTGTCAATGTCTCGGGTTGGGCTTTAGCGATTTGGAACAACGTCTTGTAACCCGCATTGAATAATTGTCGAATCCTACCCTATTTTTATATTAATTTATTCCGTGAATATAATTTTAATTAGAGAAAAATAGGTCAAACATCACTCACGGATCAAAACGGGGCAGGCGTCCCAATACAGTCCTGAATTTTAAATGTTTTTATTTAATAACACAGATGTTTGCAATGAGTGGGTTTTAGCAGGGATGCGAACCCGGTTCAAGGTAAAAAAAATTCTAAGTGGGTTAGGTTCGGTTCAAAGGAATATTTTTGAACATAGGTTTGGTCAGGGTTTCGAACCGTTAAGCATAACGGTTCGGTTCGTTCCGGTTTTTAGTTTAAAATTTTATAAAGGTTTTGTTCCATTTCGGTTTTTTAAAAAAAATTCATATCGGTTCGGTTTATAATTTATAACGGTTCTTTTTGGTTTGTTACGGTTTTTATAAATTTGATTTAAAAAAAAAATTAATCATTAACAATGTATATATTAATTTTAGAGAAAAATCCTTTTAATTTATAATTTCTTATTTAATTTAACAATAATAATCTAATAGATATTTATATTAAACTTAGTAAATATAAATTAGACAAATTAAATTTTTTATTTCATAAATAAATAAGATAAAAACAAACATGCTTAAATACAATGATGAATAAAATAACGCATAAATATAATAAAATGTATACTAAGGGATAACTAAAATATTTTCTAATATTTCAGGATTTAATTTAGTTCTCTGCGCAGAGAGTATAAACTTAAGGCTAGAAAATGCTCTTTCTACGGATACCTGCGTAGCTGGAACTGCTAGCACAGTTATAGCTAACTTATAAAGTACTGGTATACTATTATCTACATTTTCCCAATAATTCAAAAGATTAATATTTTTTTCTAATCTCTCTATATTATCAAATGACCGAATTATATATTCATTCTATTTCTATACATTTATTATAATGTTCTATGCCCTGAGAATTATTCTTATTAAGCCTATCATGCGAAATCTTCAAAATCATCATCTAAATTATCTTTCGAATGCGAATACGTAGGCATAGTATTTAGAATTTCAATATTCTGATTATTAAGACTTTGTATCAAGTTCCAAGTTTGACAAAGATGTTTTTTGGGGATCTATCTTTCTTCAAATGTTAAAAATATTATTTTAATAATAAATAATTTATAATGACTTAAATGAATATTAGAATTCTGAATTTGAATTTAAAAAAACAATATGATTATAAATAAAAAATTATTATATCATTAAAATATTGTTGACCATTTTATTTATTGTCATTTAAATTCTATTATCTAAGTTTTTGTAATGAGATAAAAAATAAACCATATAATATAAAAATGAATGTAATACTTGATTTCTATTAGATGTTAGTTATTAATAGTATAATTATTTAATTTTTTCCTAAATTATTATAAAAGCTTATTAATAACTTATATATATATAAATAATTATGCGTGATTTTAATAAATCTTATCTAATTAACAGATAATTTGCCTAATCTCTAATAAATTAAATTAAGTATTTAAAGAAGCAAAAAATAAACTTGGCATTTAATGTTGATAATATAAAAATATTTAATTTGAAAAGAAATCACCAATTTAAAAAATGCCCCCAAGGAAAATTAAAATTTCAAATTTAGGTTAATAAAATTAATTATTTATTTTTTAAAACCGTTTTGAACCGGTTTAAAATATTTATAACGGTTCGGTTCGCTCTTTTTATATTTTCTTCATAACGGTTCGATTAAGGTTACGGTTCATTCCGGTTTGGCGGTTCGGTTTGAAACCCTGGGTTTGGTCCCGGTTCAGTTCGGGTTTAGAAATTTCTGAATTGATAAAAAAATTAAATTTTTATTTTATTTATAGGCAAAATATATATAAAAATACAAAGCACAGTTATGAATCAATCTCCGATATAATCCTATTTTTAAATTTGTAAAATCCGAGTTCACTTGAAATGTTATTCAACATGTGTAGATTATCCACTATATAAATTTCAGGAAATATTTCGCCGTTAACCTTTGTATATATTGATTTATAAAAAAATTCAAAAGTTCACGACAAATTTGCCTGAAATTCAAGGAGCGGGTATTCTAATAAATTTATAAAGGATAACCCCCCCCCCCCCTTCGCCATAAATTATTCGAAGGAATTACGATTTTGACTCCAGGTAATTCGACGAGAGGCAGCAAATCTTTCGAAACTAAATGATGGAATTGCTTGACAAAGGTTCCTAGCAAATCTTTCAGGGCCCACAATTCGTCAAATTCCTTAATAAATATATTTAAAAAAACTTAGTAATTGAACGTATAGAATCAAAGATGGCTCATGCATGGGACTTCAAAAAAAAACCCATGTCTCCGATTGCGAATCTTTCGAGTTTTAAATTATTCGTAAAAAAAAAGTTTGTTTTTGAAATTCTGTTATTCTAAAATTTTCGTCGGTAGCATTTAATCGGGATAACTTCCTTTTTAAAGTTCAGTTTTATGAAATTCTAAAATATTTTATTTTTATTGAAGTTTTAAATTTTTTTATATATTCAAAAAATCATAATTAAAAAATAAGACATAAACTTAAGTGTAAAATAATTTATTTTAATTTTATTTGTAGGCAAAATATATTTAAAAATACAAAGCATAATTATGTATCAATTTCAAAAATTTTATTTAGACGTATTAACATAATATCTTCCAAGAGTTGTTCGCTCATTCTCGATCTATGCAGTGAAAGAATGAATTTCAAATGTAAAAAAAAGATCTGGACGAAATGAAGTTATAGGTAGTATAAAATATAAATTGTGATGGGAGTTGAGCCGTTGCGGAAGGGCTGAAAGGTTAGAAGTTCGGTCTGCATAAAATTACTTGGTAGATGTGTCCAAGCTAGTGATAATTTTTTAGGCATAAAGAGGCCATAAATTTGAATTCTAAGCTTTAAAAAAAATATACGAACTTTCGACTTTAACCATTAAAAATATTATATTTAGCATTAGTTGTCTGACCCAAAAATAATGTGGCAGCCTAGTGTTGTTAATTTGCTTGGTTATAAAATTTACGAACCATTTTTGTGCTCAGGCCTGCTCGGAGCACAGACCCTTGGTTCAGTCCCGTGGTTGGATGGTTAAGATCCGGGGTTGTTTTTATTGTTAGATAATATAGCCCTGCAAGCAAGTCAGTTTTGGGATAAAAAAATTTATATCTGGTCGAGTTATGGTTTAATTTAAAAAATCCAAAATTATAGTTTACTGAGAATAAACGAAAGAAAACAAATTACTATAAAAATTAAAAAGCTTTTTATTTAAATAAATTTAAATATTTTCCCTAAAAATAAATTGGTATATATCAATAACTGAGATAGGGTTTTAGAATAAGTTACAATGGGCTCAGGCTAAATAAAAATTTAATTTGCATAGCCTCTACTTGGGTAGAGTAAACATGTTTTTTTAATCACAGTTAGTGTGATTTTGTAGCGAAATATACAAAAATGAAATTTTTATAAGGAAAACTAAGAAAAATTATAAACCTTATTTATTAATCTTATTCTAATTATAAATAAAAAAGCTTTATTATTTTATTCTACATTAATCACAATAGTGTTGTTAAAAAGCCTGATTTGGGTCGATATTTTAAAACGGCCCGATTAATATTTTAGCTAAAATAATTTTATGTAAGTATTCATATTTGGCAAATTGTTTACGGTTACTTACGCATCTTCAACAATTTGTAATATTTTTAAATGTCAAAATTTCAGTTATATTTGAAACTATGGTATCGATTCACAAATTTTAAAATGGTATTATAAATTTTTCTTATATTTTTTTCAAGCCATATAATCAACAACATATTTTATTGATTTTGATAATTAATTTAAAATATAATTTTGAACAATTATTTATTATTTACAAATATTTAAGTGACATTTTGTGGAACAATTAATGCCATTTTTAAAAACATTGGCATCTCTTATTGTTGCAACTTTTTTGGCAATTGCAAATTGATTTACAAATACCATAAGAAGAGGCACTTCTTGATGCTGTTATTATGGAGATTTTCTTATTAGGAATGGTAAAATTGGTAAATTTTATTGATTTATGAACGCTCGTTTTTAAAAATGGCGAATTACTTTTTCCCAAATTAGTGTCAACCCATAATTTCTCGCCCTCTATTTGGATAATACCAAACTTATTTTCGTCTACATTAAAAAAATTTTTTTTTTGAAAAATATCTTAGCAATGCACATTTTTAAGTAAAAAGATGATTTTAAAATTAATTATAAAATTATTCTAAAAATTTTTGCTATTTTGAGGAGAAATCTCAGTTTAAATTATTCATAAGAGACGTAAGGAAACTTGAGATAGACTCTCGGGCAGATATAGGGATCCTAAAAAGAACTGGGGGCTAATGCGAATTAAGAAATAAATCAACAGGGCTTGAGGTACAACAAATCAGACTGGAGTCATACGAGTAAGGAGCTCTAATAAAAGGATCTGGGCGAGAGGAGTGGGAAAATTTTCCAGAATTGGGGCAAGCGGGTGAACTATATAACCCCATTAGAATTAAGCGATATTATTTTTAAGCATACTTCGCAACAAGAGTTTACCATGGAGATGGCTTTGAAAGGGAGAAAACAAAAAAAAATATATTAACAGATATTATAACTTTGAATGGGTGAAAAGAACACAAAAATATTATGGGGAAAAAATATCAAAATTGAAAAAAAATACATTGGCTATAAAAGTATATGAACAATCTAAATTAGGGGGGTAACAAGTAAGATGAAATATTTTAAAAAAAATAAAATAAGATTAGATTTGATGGAATTATTAAAAACAAAACAAAAAGAAAAATGTGTGGGGGGGGGGCGGATCAAATTTTTTTAAAAAAAGAACAAAGTATGAATAATCGAAATTGGGGGGGGGGGGGGATTGGTAAATTAAAAAAATAAATAAATTCGTATGAAGATTATGTAGGCGTTTTGTCGTATTGCCAAGATTCATAAAAAAATCTCGAAGATTCCCAAAATTGTATTTGAAGTAATTATGAAAATTAAAGAGGTTAAAGATATATCGCAACAATTATAAACACTAAGAAAATTAGAAATTTTATATTATAGCATCAAATGTATGCACTGCAGAATGCCAAAGTAAAATATCAAATATATATTTACAATAATTTTTTAAAGCTTTTAATCGGTTAGGGTTCACCATTACGTATAAACATTTATGAAAAAAAGTAAAATGACCTAAAATGGCCACATATATATTTGAAGCGAGATAATATTTGTATAATTTTGAAATGATGTAACAGATTAGACAAATAAATTAAAATATACTTTTTATTTTAAATAAAATTAAATATAAATTGCTAAATAGCAATCAATATAGATTATATACAATCAATATTATAATAATTGTATATAAAATATATGATCATATTTTATATTAATAATAGAAAAGAATATATTAAAAAATTTAATTAATTAAGATAATATATTATAAATTGCAGATAATTTACAATATTTTAGAAAACTCTTCTAGATCTATTAATATATAACAGACAGCACGATTATATTATAAATATATCTTTGAATCAGTGACGAAGCAAATAAAAAAATGCTTATTTTTTTTATTATATTTTTTTTCCTTACTTAATTAATGTTTAATAATTGTAATTATGTTATTGAAAATTTATTATGATTATCACAGTTGTATAAAAAGTATATGCATCTATACTTTTATTTAACGCCTTTTTATCAAAAAATAAAAATATTTAGATGCAAATTTTATGTTATATGTATGAGCATATAATTTAAATAAATATATATTATAAAAATATTAAGACTAATATAATAAAAAAATATATATATAATATTAAAACTCATATATAGAAAAAGATATAAATATCATTTTTTTTCCCATTATCTATAGATATCAGTTCAAGATTGTGAAGGATATTCTTATCATGCAAAGGAATTTATAAATCCTTGCTTAGACATGACGCCTTTTAATTATAAACAATACCCAGAGTTGGGCAGGTCATCCGGAAAACAGATACAGATTCTTTGTGAAAAAATGAATCTTAGATATAGATACTTATCTTTTTCAAAATATCAAAAAGATACAAGATAAAAGTTACTTGTATCTTTTGCCTAATTAGAGTATCTTAAATACAAGATACTTCATTATCAATTAAATTAGAATAGTTTGTAAAATACAGTTTTTATTATTAATTTGTGAAGAACATAACATACATATAATAAGAATGAATATTTACAATAATTAATAAAATATTTAATGATGAGTTGATTATAATAATTAGGTATTTTAATATTAGTATTAGCCCATTCTTAGCATAGATGAAGGGAGACTAGTATTTTTAATGGGAGTTGAAATATTAATTTGCAAAAGAGTATTTAAAATAAATTCATTATTTTATAAGATAATCAAATTTTTCAAATATTTATAATTGGACCTTTGCCGTTTCGGCGTACTTAAAATTGTGCCAAAACTGAATAATCTTTCAATTGGAGCTGATGAAGGTATTGCAGTATTATATTTATAAAAAATTTCCTTAATGGAAGGATAATTATTAAGCATTTGTAATGTATTTCGACTTTCTTTAATATAATTTAAAACCCCCAGTTCAATGTTATTTATATTATTGAACTCCGCAACCTTTGTTTTACCAAAAGAAAAATATAATGGATGTGATATTGATATCAAAAAAGCCTCATTATATTCAAATCATAACTAGTATCTTATTAAAATTTCAAAAAGATACTGAGTACAAGATAAAAATATTTTTGACTTCGATTGAAAAAAAGTTATTAAAAAATTTTAAATCTAGCAATAACTATTATAATTCTGTGTTTGATCATTTTACTCAAAAACAAAGACGAATTATACTTATTTATATATTTTAATCTTTTTATGGTTTGACTAAAAATAAAAATTCTATTGCTTCCATAGTAGTGAATTTGACGCTTCGTCACTGCTTTGAAACTATATAAATATTGAAGTTTATCATAAGTACTTTTGTGGGTTAATACATAAATTCTTTATCATAAAATTAAATTTTTTTATGCTAATATTTAAAGTTTTATCTTGAGGTAATATTAGTTCAAAAATGTATTTTTCTGTAAATGTTTAATTAATCTATATACCTACCCTATTATACAATATTGTTACATTAATATATAACCCATATTAAGATAGTTGATTTTCTTAACTATGTCATATCTTTGTCATCTTTCCTAACTATTCAAAAGTCTGACT